TACAGCATATCACACACCTGTTTGAACAAGTGCAATCCAACTACAAAAAGTTATTGGCTGAGTCTAAAAATGGGGGTTATATATAGACAACAAACCAAAATTAACCAATCAATTTCATACACAATATTACTGAATAAACAGCACCCATCTAAATTATGACACGTGAAAGATTTGAATTATGAATTTGTTGTTTGGGTGGTTGTTTTCTGTTACAAAACAGATATAGTATCTTATATCCATCAAAATGTCACAAATGTCATGTTTTTGCATTTAAATTTTAACCATCTAACCATTTACTCTTGAAACCTTTAAAAATGTCTGGATCATACTTCACCACAATTTTTTGTTTTTGTTTTTATCTATTTATTTATTTTTAGAAAATTAAGCCTATTGTTGACCATTAAGGTTTTACTGTACTAAAACCAGAAAAACAAAACAAAACAAAAACAAACCCACAATATATTATTTAAACAGTAATTTAAGCTTTTTTTTGTACTACAAAAATAAAAAAAACTTTTGAGAATAATTACACTGTCAATTATATCTTTACTGTAAACTCTTCAATGTAAAACTGTATCTTTAAAGGTACAACCGATTAAGTAAGCTTTAAGTACCCTTAAAATGACAACTTTATATGTTATCTACTCCTAAAAGGTGCATATTAGTAAGAGTGGTAATATTTGTCCTTAAGTTACTACTATTAACCTTTTAGGGGTAAATAAGGTATAAAGATGTCCCTTTGAGGGTACTGCTCCAGTGATAAGGTGTTGTACCTAAAGGTTTTTTTTTTTTTTTTCCTGAGAGAATAGAAATCAATAAACCTCTAAAATTTTTATTCCTATAATCATATTTTCACAATACTGTCAATAATTTAATATAACAGTATATATATATATATATATATATTTTTGATTTTGGGGTGAAACTGGACATGTTTCATGAGATTCATCCTTTAACACATCATCCATTTCTTTTCTATATTTTTATCTTGAAATTATATCTTTAAATTATTCCCTAATCTGACATTTTAAGCATGTTTCATGTCAAACACGTATAAACTCATTTTACAGATTTTCAAAATGTATTTTTGTTCATTATTATCATTATTATTTTAGATTGTTTTAATTCACTATGACAATGTTTAGTTGATAAAGTAAGTGTAAGAACAGGTTTGGAATACATTACAGCAGGATAACAGGTGCTAAGGGAATGTCTTGGGGTACAACACATCTCACAACCAGCAGAGAATTTTAAAAGATAACTAAGAATCCAGACAAAAAATTTGAATGAAAAGATGTTTGTGTTTCTCAACTACCTGCATGCTATCAGCTTATGGGAGCGAGTTTTGAAGATATCATGCATCTTCTTTATTTAAGTTTTTCTTTACACATTCTCTCCTTTCCCCCATGGTGTACTTGGGGCAAGTCATTCTATATTCCCTAGAGAGTTATCCACTTCCTCCTCACTAGGGCTTGACTCTAGCCCCATACCCTCTGTTTGTGACAGCTCATCCAGCAGCTCCTTTCCCGCCTCTCCAGCTCGAGACGCCCATAGCACAGCACCCTGTTTCAGCCCGATGGAGCGAAGCATCTTAGCGTAGTCCACAAAGGCCGCACCTATAAACTTATGTGGAGATGCTGTGGTTAAGGAAGACTGGGAATAGAGAAGTAATATAAGTAAAAAGAAAAAAAAGTGTAAAGACCAAGTTACTACTTACTACATACAACCTACTGTCACCCCTAAAATTATTTGGAAACTTAAGTGGACACCAGTACACATAAGCAAATTGTGTCTTGTAAGCCAGGTTTTTGCATTGCAAAGAACCATTTTAAATGTAGAAGTGTCCACATATTGTGTGATGTATCACGTACCTTGCCAGTTTTGTGCGCTTACTTGGCCCTTTGTTGTGATAAACAGTAAAGTGTGTTCAAGCGCCAGCAAAATACTTGAATAGTGTAAAGAAATACTCTTTAAGAGAAGCAATCAAGCAGCGGAAGTTAAAAGCAGTGTGTAAGTATATTTATTTCTTGTCTCATTAGTTTTTGCAGTTGTCATTGCTAGGAAACACTTGTTTTGTTTACTGTGTTGAGACGTGCTGAAGTCGTGTTTGGTCTCGTGCTGTATCGCATACCTTGTCAGTTTCGTGCACTTGTTATGCTTGGAGACTTAAATGTCCTCCTAGATAGGGTGCAGGCTGCAGACTTCCACACTCTGCTTGCCTCTTTTGATCTCAAGCAAGTGTTAACTATGGCTACTCACAAATCAGGCAACCAACTGGACCTTATTTACACACCAAACTGCTCCACTGATCATGTGATGGTTACTCCACTGCACACCTCGGATCACTTCCTCCTCACTCTTAACATCAACATGGTTCCTGACACAACACATACCCCTCCACATGTCATCTTTCGATGTAACCTATGCTCACTCTCACCCTCTCAGCTATCTGCTATAGTTTCATCTTCGCTTCCTCCTCCTAAACAGTTCTCATCACTTGATACTAACAGTGATACTAACACTTGATACACACTCTCTGCTCCACTCTTTTGTCTTGCTTAGACAATGCCTGCCCCCTATCTTCCAGGCCAGCCCGTACCACCCCTTCTGCCCCTTGGAGTTCTCTGCGAGCATCGTTCTAAGCTCAGGGATGCAGAAAGTCTGTCAAAACTGAAAACTGTCAAACACATCTTACCAGCAAACATACATATTCACCTCCTTCTCTCCACTCTCTGAAGCAGAAGTCTCCAAAATAATCCTTTCCAATCATCCTACTACTTGTCCGTTTGATCATATTCCATCTCATCTCCTTCGAGCCATTTCTCCTGCAGTTGTACCTATACTCACTCACATCATTAACACATCCCTTCACACTCGTGTTTTTCCCTCAGCATTTAAACAGGCTACTTAAGAAACCCACTCTTAACCCAGCTCTTTTAGAAAACTACAGACCGCTTACCCCTTCTTCCTTTTATTGAAAAAACACTTGAACAAGTTGTGTTTAACCAAGTCTCTGACTTTCTCACACAGGAAAAACCTCCTGGACTGCAATCAGTCTGGCTTCAGAAGTGGAAATTCAACCAAAACTGCCTTGCTCTCGGTTGTTGAAGCCCTAAGACTGGCAAGAGCGGCTTCCAAATCTTCAATACTTGTCTTGCTGGATCTGTCCGCTGCTCTTGACATGGTTAACCACCAGATCCTCCTGTCAACCCTATTGGCAAAGGGCATCTCAGGAACCGCACTCCAG